TTGCAGCATGAGCATTACCTCAGATGTTATCCGCATGAGGAGTTGCGTTTTACTTGTACTTTTACTATTCCAAAGCGCAATTACAGGACTTGGCAAAGTGCCAAGAGCGCTGCGCGCGACACGCGCCGCGCGGACGGCTGTTAGTATAAACGGGATCGGGAGTCTGCGCCGCAAGTTGCATTTTAGGCGGAGCATGGAGGAATTAATTCCTATGCCTGTTCAGACGGGGAAAAGAAACCGCCACGCTCCGACAGCTGGGGGGGGGCTGATAGTCACGCATACCCAAACTATATGTGATCGTACTATGAAAAAGCTTATTGAAAGATGTGGACTCAAAACCTACTAAAAAACCCGAAGTCACTCAACAGATCTTTCATCATCTACCCTGTGCAGGGCGCAATCCATATGCACGTCCTCAAATGGCCATCTTGTGTTCCGTTATCCGGGCGAGCAAAGTCCCGCAGGTGGCATAGCGTACAGGTAGGGTCATGCGACCACACGATAAATGAAGGTTCTAACAGCTTTTTGCGCCTGATGTTGAAACTAGAACATCGGAAACAGTTGTGTATTGAAAGCTGTCTTCTAATAGTGAGCAACGTTTGCACTTTGCGACTTGGCGTTTCGAGCAAAAGGAAATATAGATATCGATCTCACAGGTACTGATGGCGCCCAAAGCGCCGATTCTCTCACAACGCTGGTTCTTCAAAACCGTTCCCTCAACACACTCGCGACTGGTGCATATCTACACCTGAGCTATCCTTTTCGCTCAGAACGCTGGTTCTCTTGAAACGAAAGCGCAGAGTATGAAGCAGCCGCATGACGGCTTAGGGTAGGTTCGAGCGATTCATCTGGGAATCTCTCCCTCGTAAATATGCATAGCTTCAAGCGACCTCTTGGGTTAAATTAAAGGTAACTGCATGCACCAAGTTCTCAAGCTTCTCCATCACGCTCCCACGCAATTTCGATGAGGGCAAGGAAGCATTCTGTGATTGCTATATATTATCCGTTATGTGGTATGTATTCGTGTAAAAGCTGATCCAGCAAGCTGTCAACAGAAAACACTTCAAGGAATCCAGTGCGGCGAGTCAAAATTGAAATTTCCGAATTGTTCGAAATGACTCAGGTCCTTGATTGTTTCTTGATCACACACTTCATAAAAGAGCACCTGCAGCTTTAGTTTTGGGTTGCAAGAAAAGGAAAGGTGTCGAAAATGCTAGTTTGTCGACAACACCCCAGTAAGATCCCTAAAAAGGAAAAGTAGACCTCCAAAAAAAAAATTCGCCTACCGCTCTATAGAGCAAGGAACTCTAGAAAACGCACTGCAAACCACAGTATCTTCAGCGCAAATTTTTGGGTTGGAAAGAAGCCGTTGCATATGAGCCAACACAACAGTTATCTTCATCTACTTAATCACCTGGTCTTCCGTTGACCATAGTGTTGCGCGAAGAGATAGTAGCGTCTTCACTCGTTTGTACACGCGTTAAAGTTTCCAATACAGAGTTTTCTGTGCTCGTTCCACGAAGAAGTCAGCCCATCGAGCCGGCGGTCCTTTTAGTGTTCCCTTGATTCCGTGGAATCAAAGCACACCATCGATAGAGGTTCTCGAGTGAGCGAGTGTGGTGGAGGGTGGTGGTGTTTAACCGCTGGAGAGAAGTGGGTCGTAGTCAGCAGCAAGCAACGCAGAAGTGTCAGCATCAATTACAGTAAGTTGCTGGGAACGAACTTCCCCCCTAGAGAACCAGGATGTGCAAAAATATTGCAAAAATAAGCTTATTAGGTGATATCAAGCTTGGACCTCTGATCAATCTTCCGCCAATGCTCATTAAATAAAATATCCAGAAGAATTAATTTGGCAACATAGAGTCGAAATGCCGTAGATGACTTAACAGAGCAACCTACACAGGCCTGTAGGTAGATTATGAGCCCCTGTGTGTAACCCCTAAAGCATGGCGCATTGGAGATGAGACCACTCGGTGGCGAGTCCTGCCTCTGTTCCACGAGAGGACCCTTCCAGGAGGATGCTGCGATCTCAAATGAGTTCATATCCAATAATCCAGAAGAAATGGGTTTCTCGAACGGTTCGAAACTTTCCCCGAAAAAATCTCGAATGCAGACTTCTTCTGTTCTACGGGACTTTCAAAGAAATGTAATGGTTTCTGAAACAGAGTCCTTCTTTTCGCAGCCCTTGTCTCAGCTTCATACTGTGAACCAGTTTCATCAGTGCGAGACTTCTCCCCCGTGTCTATCAATAGATATGCCTTGCACATGACAGCCATTCTTTGTCCGCTTTTCGTAGAACCTCTGCAAAAAAAATAAGCTGGCAGTTTGAGGTGTCAGTGCTCCCGAACCGATACATACACTGCCAGAGAAGAGCAATATATTAGGAACCTCCGTTGAACGCCACAACCTCAGGTTCCAAGAAATCACTCATCTTCTATCGCCAGGTAAAACACAAGCCGTACACAAAGTTTTGCCATAAATTTATTTCATCAAAAATCAACCCTTAACATGTCGAAAAACCATCTAGATACAAATGACGGTAATGACGCATTATGATGCTAATTATGGATGATTTTTGCCCCCAATATGTGAAACACCAAGCTGAAAAAGCAGGAGATAGATATATAGGCTCTACTAGTGCAAACTTTGAAAAGAAAATTTCAACACCGATATGTACATTATTTAAGTGTAAGCAAAATGTATTAGCTCAATCAGCGGTAATGGTAAGGTGAGCGATTAGAATATAATGCACGATGAAGAACAGACTGGAACGCAAATATATACAATATAAAACAAGCACACAAAACTCTGATGTGAGTTGTAAGGCTCCGTTCAAAGCTTTCGCCGTAATGGACAATCACCGTTGGAAAGTCCACGAAAAAGAACAATGCAGACACATACGAACTGATGACATCCGCCAACTATGTTT